TCGATGTTTGGGAAATTGACTGTCCATTTATTTTCCAGTAACCGTAGTCTCGTAAATGATGAGCTAATGAGGTGAAACCCTTTGCCTCTTGGCTTTTGCGACATCTTGTCGATGCAGTAAGAAAAAGATGGCTTCAATGCTAATGCCTCGTACTTGCATTCAGGAGGTTCTAGGTACGAACCTTGGCTGGCACACCGATTATCCCTACTCAGGCATTTCGTAGTTATTCTCAGACATTCCAGGCGAATATTGTGACAATTACTTGAAACGGGATGCAGCCTGTTCCTTCTAGATCCTTCTGAGTTCATCAGCGTTTAATCATGCTATCTTCGCTCGCTCGGAAGCCGGGATGTTGGGTTCGAATCGCACACAAGTGATGGATGTTTGGTATGTGTATGTGTTTATTCTGTGTTTGTGTTATCCTGTGCTTAGGCAGAGGCCTTGCGACGGGCTGATCACCCGTCCAAGGAGTCCTACCGTCTGTAAAATGATCACAATGAATAAACAAACCTCGACCCATAAGGTATAAGAGGAAATAATTAAGTAAGTTGAAGAGGGTGTGCCATTTATAAGATAAAAATATAGACTGAGGATTCACATTAACATTGAACAGTCGTGAAAGCATAAAATCTTCTATAGATTGGGTGAGTTAGAGCATACAGCGAGTTTGTTAGTTAGTTAAGGCTGATAAATTCATGACCCTCTATTAGTAATTAAATGTTATAGTAACGTACTTGAAGCTGCTTAGGAACAAATGTTTCCTTCTTTAAATTACATGCCCATCGCCTGCCAGGCATGTTTGGCTTAGGATTGCCAATTCCTTGCATCCAGATTTGCAGGGTTTTCATTCTAACCCAGGGTTTCCTCTAAAAGAATTGGCCTTCAGCGTGGCTGCAGACTTCCTGGATCTTCTTAGCTTCAGACAAGTTTGAACTTGAAGCCGGAAGAGAGGAATAGGCTAAAACAATGACGACGAAGGTGATGATGAGATATTTCTCTCTCTCTCTCTCCTCTCGCTCCCGCTGTGGAGCATTGGGCTGATCTCTCAGTTTCGTGATCATTTTACAGACGGTAGGACTCCTTGGACGGGTGATCAGCTCGCCGCAGACCCTCTGCCTAAATACGGGATAACACGAACACAGAATAAAAGCATACACACACCAAATATCCATGCTTTGTGTGGGATTCGAACCAACGATCCCGGCTTCCGAGCGAGCGAAGACAGTACATGCCTTAGACCGCTTGGCTACCGTGACCAGGTGAAATAAAAATTATTGTTATGATTGTTATTTTTCTGTTGGACCATTTCCTCAATTTTGAAAGAAACTATGACAGACTGCTGAAGCGGTGTTTCCCATAGGTCTGTATATTTTAACTGCCTTTTTAGATATTGAATCTTAAAGAGAACATGGCCACAAACGTCTTCAGTGTTAAGAAATGTTTCCTTACGTAGGTGCTATAAAATACACATTACAGGGTGTGTATATTTTAATTTTAAATCACAAATACAGGTGAATGTACTGGTATTTAATCTAACGTAAGCGTTTCTTCTAGTAACTGGACGTAAAGTCAGTATTTACGTGCTGAGTCTTCCTGTGGAATTCAGGAAGCTGAAATTCCGAGCACTTGAAAATTTGTGACAACTTAAATCTGATGACTTCAGACCTTACGTGGTGATTCAATTTGCGAAGATCAGTGTGCCCTCCCACGCTTGTATATGCTCACGCGCCTTGAACGTGAAGCAAACCTCATGCCTCACAAACATTCCCGGCAGCAGAAGGTTGCTGAGGTCACACACGTCCATATGAAGATACGAAGCCGACTTCTCGTGTGAGAATGTCTTCACAGATTTTCGTGCATATGGAACCCTTACATAACCACTTCTGAAGCACGTATTACGAAAGCACATCATTTCAAATTAAACCTAACCTACGCTTTGTATTCGAGAGATGTGTACAACCGAATTATGCTTTCCTCTCTTCGTCCGTGTTTTTCATCTCAGAAACCACTCAATGGAATTTATATTATAATCGGTCAAATTTCATTAAATTACCCTGCATTAAGGGGCACGCTTTAGCGTAGTTGGTTGAGGCACTATGCATCAGGAACTGTGGAGCTTCTGGGTCTAGCTGTGCAATGGGGCGGGGGGCACTATCACGTACCCTCTGGCACTTCTCTCGCCTCTAAGCAACAACTCTCTGGTATTTTAGGCAACACCTTACACAATTACACCTTCCGTGGAAAGAGAGAGTGTATGCAGTATCACGGCTCAGTGTTACAACACACACTCGGCCGCACACATGAATAGTTATCAGTTGTTTTGAAAGTTCGGCTCACGTATTCCAGGAAGTATGGAGTTTATTTGAAAGGGCGGCTGAAAGCATGCATTCCTGTATTATGTAAAAGTGGACTAAGTATCGCTCTAAAACAGCTGTTGTGAGGAAGTGTGAAGCCTTCCAAGGCTGTTCGTGATACACGTACAATCTGAGATGTAACTGAGAGAATCCTGTAAGGTCTTCATAACTTTCTTTTATACACTTTATTGTTTATGGAATAAATGAAGTTATTATAAAGTGAAACGGCCTCTGTATATTATCGTGTTCATGTGATGCATGAAGACACGCAGATGAGATGTGCATTAAGTTGCCCCTGAAAACGGGCAAGTGAAGTTTCAATCTGAGACCAACCGAGGAGTTCGCCTCGAGGGAACAAGTTTTCAGAAAATCTGCTCCAAAATTGTAATGGCTTTCAAGTTCTGACTTCACAAGCGAGGATACGAATATTGTGTCTTTTTGTGCTGGTTCTTTAACGATGCTATCGGTCTCCAGACTGGATAATGGGCTGATTAATTAATGTGGAACAGCTGCTGAAATGAGGAGCACACGGTAGAGTAGTTGGTTGAGGTACTATGCTACAAGCCGGAAGATCGCGGGTTTGATTCCCGATAAGGTCATTGGATTCTTTCAAGTCACCTAATCCTTCCAACCTCACTATGTCCCTGGGGTCGACTCAGTCTCTTACAGAAGTGAGTACCAGAAAACTTCCTGGGGGGTAAAGGGCGGCCGGCTGTCAACTTTACCGCCATCTGTAAGCGGATTGTCTAGATGTGGAGCCTCGACGTCTCACAACCCCTATGGGCCTCCACGGCCTGTTACAGGAATAGCATAAAAGTTGTTGAAATGAGAATTGGCAGAGGAAACAGAATTAGTCTGAGAACACCTGTCCCAGTGACACTTTGTCCATTACAAATCCCATCTGAGCTGATCTAGGAATGAACTCTTGTCGCCGCCCTGAAACGTCAGCGAGTAACCGCCTGAGGTACGGTGCGGCCGCATGTAGTGTTAATTACGTAATAACTTTCGGTGCAATTGATCGATTTTCGTCGAAATTAGGATGAACGTTACACGAGGGGGCGACAGTTCATTCTGCTGTCAGCATCATTAGTTACGGTGACTGCGAAATTCAGCTGTAAGCAATTATAATTTGTTTGGCGTAGAGATACTCGTATGATTGGACGACTGCAAGTTTCAGACCGACAATTCTTTGTAGAACAGCGCCAGATAACAAAGAGAGCACAGTCTTCCGGGTTGTAATGCCGTGTAATTTGGACGCAGTTCACGTTTCGGAGGAATATATGGCCACTACATTCACGGTTTCATATCAAAACAATCATGTCATTTCAGTAAAGGTATTAAATAACAGTTGCAATGTTTCCTATGTTGCCTAACATGTTCGAGTTCAGGTTCTCGGAGTGGCTATGCGGAGTGCGGTCTTCTGAAACATGGAGGCGATTGGTCCCTCCGAAACATCGGGCTATCTCCGAAGTACAAAGCGGCACAACCCAGAAGCCCGTTCTGCTCAAGTCCTACATGAAAATATGATCAACACGCGAAATGTTTTATTTGATGAGAGTTACAAATTCACTCATTCACTCACTCATGGAGCTGAGCCCTTCTTGAGAAGCCGCCAATTGTGCAGCTACTAGAGAACTTACCAGCATTTTATGGAACCCTAAGGTTCATCACCGCCTTCACAAGAGCACTCCACTGGTCCCTATTCTGAGCCAGACCAATCAAATCCATGCCATCCCATCCTATCTCTCAAAGATCCGTTTAATGGGGCACGCGGTAGCATAGTTGGTTGAGGCACTATGCTACAAGCCGGAAGGTCGCGGGATCGAACCCCGATGAGGTGGATTTTTTCAATTTGCCTAATCCTCCCAGCCGCACTATGGCCCTTGGTTTGACTCAGCCTCTAACAGAAATGAGTACCGGGAATCTTCCTGGAGGTAAAGAGCGGTCGGCGCGTAAGGCTTACAACCTTACCGCCATCTATGAGCCGATTGTCTAGAAAATGTTGGATCCTCAATATCTCACAATCCTATGGGCCTTCACGGCCTGGTACAGGGATAGCTTTACTTTACTCTTTAGTGATTTTAATATCAGTCTATTGCAGTTAGTTTCAGCTTCCCGCCAATCTGTCACACAAGTGAACAGTTGCAAAAAATTTAAATAAAAACAGTTTTTGAGAATATTAATTCTATAAGAAATACTTTAAAATATAAAAATTTATTTTGTGAACCGGTTAGAAATAGCGGCATATTCCACCTCTCATGTCCTGAAAATGCAAAACTCGTAAGAATAAAGCCTTTAATATCAAATATAGCGAACATAAACATGATAGAAGAAATGAAACAAAATCAAAATTTTTTCAACATATACTAGAACCACTGCACTCACAGAGTTAGCTTAAGATCACTAGCAGATATTCGCTACAACAGAGGAAGGTTCTATATGATTACATAAAAAACAAAATCGTGTAATTAGATATCATTTACATAAGATTTGCCAACAAGTTAATCATACAAATGATTTTTTCTAGAATATAAATCTGATATACGGCGTCATCAACAACCTGTCAGACACCAACAGCAACGCCATCTATATAAACCACTCTTCGCATTCCGAATGTACCTCTAAGTCACAGTCTACAGACAGATCATTGCCTTCAAGGACACATCACACTATGTAGGCACTTCAATAGCTTCAATATTTGCCTTCAAAGACACCAATTGAACTACTTCAGTAAGTAAAACTGTACCGCTATTTCCAATATTGATCTAGTCATACATTTCTTGAAACTTGGTAGAATAAAACGATATAATTTTCAGATCAGCCTTCACGAAGTCACTTTATACGCCATTAACATATATGTCCTTGATGTCAAGGACACACACTGCGCCACATCACTAAGTACAATTCTACCACTAACCATATTATTAAAACAATTGCTCTTTGAAATTTCATACCCTTATATAATTTTTATAAACAGCTCTGCCTTCTTCCCCAAAAAGTATCAGAAACGCCCACACCCTCCCCAGAAAAGAAAACTAACTAACGTACAGTTAAAGTTATAACTTAACGTGGATTAACAAAGAAAGTTATATATGGAAAATGAAAGCATATTATAAGAGCATCAGTTAACCAAGTTATATAAATATTTCGAACCACATAATAAACACGTAACTATACGTATTGTGTAACACATTGAGACAAGTACTGCCAGTTTTAGGAACGTTTCTGTGTAAAATTCATTGTTACTTTCCCTACACTCCCGTATTTTAACAAGTGTGTACATAGTCTATTTACTACACATATATACTCGTATGTACGGCAGATTTGTGTACCACTCCGGACGATGACTTTCACAATTGAATCGCGTGGCGTATAATAAGAAATAAAAAAAAATACTGTAAGCTTGAGAGACGGTTAATCTTATGGCTTGAAGGTAAACAAAAACAGGACGATCTCTCATAAAACGTAATTTAAAGTCTATTTATTTATTATGAAGAAAAAGTTCATCATAGCCCTTGTTTTTTCATTAATAATTTCTTCCGCCGACTGCAGCTACTATGAGTAAGGGAAGTGGGTGGATACCTAACATGAAGCAATGCAGCAACTCTTCTTTGTCTTCAAACGGTTTGAGTTGGACGGTTTCCGTTTATACTTTCACAAGTCAGCAGACTACAACAGCAAGTACAACTAATGGTTCTTATTTCTAGTGACAAAAGAGAGAGTTTGGTAACTCGAATATTTATGCATATTTTTCTGAATCTGTATCCTTGTGACATGACGGCATCAGGCGGGAATAAATATTTTGTTGTGGAAATCACGTCGGGGTTCGCTATGGTCCCGATGTCTGCTAGCGTAGCGAAGGTAGCGACAGTTTTCATTGCTGCAGATATGGACGCGCCATAGCCCAAGCGATTAGTCGCTGGCTTCCCACAGTGGCGGCCCGGGTTCGATCCCGGGTCTTGTCAAGTGGGATTTGTGGTGGACAAAGTGGCGCTGGGGCAGGTTTCCTCCGAGTACTTCGGTTTCCCCTGCCAATCTTCATTCCACCAAATTCTCCATCATTATAATCACCAGGGACAGGTACAATAGGCCAATCAGTGGCCGCCGTGCCGAATGGACCCAGCTGGACTCCACCCCCCACTAAGCGAATAAAAAAATATTGCTTCAGGTAGTACGGTCCTGAATGAAGACTGCATAAAAAGAGAAACGAACAGTTCGGCAGCAATTAGTTCGACCAAGGATAGACGCAGAGTAAGAAACTTAGTAGTTCTTTTTTATTTTCTTAGGGTGGGGTGAGACTGATTCCACTTTTTACTGGCCTATTGTACCAGCCCCGGATTATACAGTAGATGATAAATGTGAAGTAGTCGGTGGAATGAGAATTGGCAGGGGAAACCGAAATCCTCGGAGAAAACCTACCCCTAGTGCCACTTTGTCTATCACAAATCGCACATGACATGACCCGGACTCAAACCCGGGCCGCCGTGGGGAAGCCGGCAGCTAACCGCCTGAGCTACAGCACGGCCATAATGGAAAACTTAGTATTTATCTCCATTGATTTGGGTAGGGCGGCATTGAACCAGATATATGGTGTACTTACTCCTCAATTCTGGCAGTGCCGACGAATGTTCTTTTACCTAATTTGCCCTAAATTTGACATGTACACTGGGCCCAGCGATTGAGACTAGCTCTTTCTAAGGGGCCCAACAGAATAGGTGTTTTTCCCTCACCTGAGAACGGAAACAGATCCAGTTTCCGAAACGTCGTGTTTTTCTTAGTTATCTTAAAAAACCAGGACGATGGATAAAGTCCGAAAACCCAGTATCTCTGTGTGTTATACACCATCGTCAGAATCCTATAGTAACTACTTGAAAATTACTGTGGTCACCAAATATCTTCCCTTCAAAATGCGACTTGCAATTTACGATTAAACCGACTGAAGAGAACAATGCTAAGGGCCTGTAACATGATTTATAGGTTAGTTCAACTGTTTAAAATGTCATGCTCTTAGAAATATTTCCTTTGAAATTCTACACATTCGAATAATCAAGAGAATTCTGAAATGTGTCAAGTCAATCATGAGCGCTTTCTACTGTTGTACTACCATCTGTTCACATTATTGAGAACTCGGCTATACAGATTTCTGTAAAGCAACAATAGCCATGATCACTTGTTTGCCATTAACGAATTTATGAGGTCGTCACAAGCAACAATATTTCAGTTGCACTAGAAATCGCGCTGCTCCACTTCTTCCGCTGTACGCCCGACTGTGTTTTATTATTCCACTCCAAAGCTGCTCTCACATGCGTTACAAAGGTCGAGGTTCACTGCGAAACTCAGATTGAAAGTTCAAGTGTCCATTTACTGAACGACCTTCAGAACAGAGAAATGGATCCAAGTACAGGAAAGATTTTGTGAGGAGAGTCCCTGAAAAGTGTTTGAAATCATAGTAGAACATGCAAGATTTGAGGTTTTCACAGCGGTGACTATGAAGAAAGCAGCCTTCTGGGATGTGGCACCGTATAGATGTGGTGTTAACCGACGTTTCGGAGGAACGTATAGCCTTCATCTTCAGGGTAGAAGGAAAAATAAGAAAATCCGCAAGCGAAGAGACAGTGAGAACAGGTGCAAGCAGATTAATGTTGGAAATATGGAGGCGATACGTTCCTCCGAAACGTCGGTTAACACCACGTGTACACGGTGCCACATCCCAGAAGACGAACAGTTTGCTATTGAAGAGAGATGAAGTAACAGGATAGTTTAAATGATAATTAGGCCTGCTTATAAAATCCACTGTTTTTATTTTTCATGTGGCATTCCCCCCCCCCCTTGGCACTACAGCCCCAGTGGGCCTAGGCCTACCTCCATGAACTCCGTTCACTTCGGCCATGTGGCATTATTGTGGCGAATTAACAAAAAAGTACCTATAGGTGAAATAACAAATTAACATAAAATTTTTATTATAAAGACTTGTGATTAATGGCCATTTTGTAGAGAGGTCATTTGAAAGGTCTGCGACAATATTTCATGAATACCGTAGAATTTTCCTTTTTTCTTTTTAGATATCGATCATTGCAAATTAACTGTAAGCTGTTTCTACTAATTCCCTAGAATGGATGTCACCTTCTGTTGCCTTAACCCGGGATAAAGCCAATCTCCTAACCGATCCCAGCCTGCGCCTTTCTCTTGCATTCTTATAGTGTCCAAATGACATTCCCACGATCTCAGAGACAATGATGTTTGGTGCATATGTCCTGTATATGTCTGCAATTTATTTCTGAATATGCTTTTGATAAGACCAGGACTCGTGCACAGTGTTTCAGTCTGCCTAGAAGTTTAATGCTACATAGAGATTAAAATAATAGTTCTACAGATGGTTGTTATAGAATGCTTAATTCTCAGGGTTGATTTACACAATTGGTCGTTACTTTCCTGGATATGTGTCCAGTATGTCAGTTTTAAAGTCGGAATAAATCTCATGTTGAATTGTTTAATAATCCTTGACATTAACTGGAGATGCCTTTGAAAGGGGAATGAGTCCTCACTTTGACGAGACGCTCCTAAGTACATGAACATAGACGTATAAACACGTCAACATGAAAAATGGGATGATTTGGGCTTTCCACTGGGCCTAGTTCTCTTGATTGGGCCCAACTGAGTAGGTTTTACCTGAAGACGGAAACAGAATCCAGTCTCCGAAACGTTGTATTTTGAAAAATAAACAGGACGGTTTTTAGATAAAGACAAGACGATGGGTAATGCCCAAAAACGTAACATTTGTACTGACTAATTAGGAGCCATGAATTTGAGGTGCTCAGTTTGAAAAGGAAAGCAATCCACACAGCTTTAGCCTGCGTGCCTTACTTAGATATCCTCAAGCGGCTAGTCGCTGGCTTTCCACCGCGGCGACTCGGGTTCGATCCCTGGTCTGGTCAAGTGGGATTTGTGGTGGACAAAGTGGCGCTGGGGCAGGTTTTCTCCGAGTACTTCGGTTTCTCCTAACAATCTTCATTCAACCAAATTCTCCATCATCATAATCACCCCGGGCAGGTACAATAGGCCAATCAGTGGCCGCTGTGCCGAGTGGACCCAGTTGGACTCCACCCCCACTAAGCGAATGAAAAAAAACAAATTAACGAATATACCAGTGAAGGGGAAGTTAGTTAAACAGCCCTCTTTAACCCACAAGTAACTGTCCACAAGGCCAGTTTTAACTTGTACCTACCTTTGCGTTTTGCTTTTACGCCATCTATGTGCAACGTCGGTTACTATTCACTCGTTTTTCTGTATTGATACTACATGTTTCGGCCTAACCGGCCATTTTCTAGTGTGCAGGTTGTTGTGGTTAAGGAATCTGCTGCTTACTCTAATGCTCTTTTGTTTTCTCTTATGTAGTTGCCTCTACAAGTGCACACAAGGGACATGCGCCCAGCCAGTGAGAACATGCGAAGGGGCACGTAAGTACAAACACAAAAATTCATAAAATAGTGACACGCCTTTGCACTGACAATAAACATATGTTATACATTACAGAAACGTGGACGCCGCAAAATGAAAATAACGCAGAACTGAGAGAGTTTTTATTCTCAGACAAACACATTTTAGTGCGAACAACGAGATGCAAAAGAATGGGATACATTGACTTGCGAACTAGAGGAGCATTGCTACAGTTTCAATAAGTGAACAATTCCCTGATGATGACCGAGTAGGGCCGAAACATGTAGCAGTAGATGTGATTTTAATGACATTTTAATAAGAGTTTCGAAATGTGGTGTTGGAGAAGAATGGAGAAGATCAGTTGGACCGATTATGTGAGAAATGAAGAAGTGTTAATTAGAGTCAGTGAGCAGAGGAATATCCTACATGAAATAANCGTCATTTTAATAAGAGAGAGACTGTGGACATTTTCAGGGACGGAAATGAATGAGCGAGTGATATGTCATTGCAAAAGCAGTCAGCAAGAAGAACGCAAGGTTCCTCTGTCTAGCAACACGTGGTACACAGAATATCTTCTGTGATTTATAGGGTGAGGAATGGTCGCTTTAGAACGTATTCACTGATGGTCCCTTGCGTTAAAAATAGATGATTTTCTTAAAACATTCTAAAGGTCCCTGACGGTTATATATTGCACTTAGCGTTGCTGGGTTTCTGGGCTTCGGCCCGTCATCTAGTGTTCCGAACAGAATGCAGCTCAGCCTTGAGGAAGAAATCAAGTCCAGAGTAGAAAATGTTGTGTTCTATTCAGCATAATAGACGATGGACAAGTCCAGAAAACCAGTAACAAAACGACTTCCTGAATACGACTGACCACTGTTCTTTAATGTTCTGCACATAATAATAATAATAATAATAATAATAATATTAATCCATTCCTTCGAAACTCTCGCATGAGCATGCGCTTCATGACGTCACACTAGACGTTTCACAATGGCGACTAAAAAAGGCTAATCCTTCCCTTGTACATGTGTATGATACAGTCTTACTGAGATAGTGCAACAACGAGTTATAGCCCTATTGTACTCATACACATGACAGTGAGAGCTCAGATTCTTTGTGTAGACGCTAATAACTGCGGTCATAATGTGTCATACAGACATTTCCGCTATCGGCGCCAAATTGACTCGGGCTCTAACGCTTGGAGATTTATGTTCGGGATGTGTTTGTTTCGAATCTCGAGCGAAATACTATCCTCGGAATTACTGGGTTTTTGGATTTTGTCCATCTTCCGGTGTTCAGTTAAATGTATCACGAACAAAAACAAAGAGAAACAACCAAAGAACAAACAAAGTTGTTTCAAACATGTTTATGTGACTCGTCACGCATGTGCAGTGGTGCGCTACATTTGTTTTCTCGCATGTTTAACAGAACTGACATGACGCAACAGTCTACTGCCCTTCACAACCATCCTGACTGCTCACTTGAATTCGGAATTTCATAAGTAGATAACAAGTATTTCTTGTTATTGCAATTTTTCTTTTTCCCTTCACGAATATCGCTTGAACATTTTTCTGCATGTACCTATCCGAATTCGCCCCTAACATTCCCATGCAAGATATAGTTCAGCCCCTGAAATTTCATTGTTCGCATGTCAGTTTGTCGATACCACTGGCCAAGCGATCTTGGGTCCTACAGAGTCTGAGGCCCACGATATGGACTTAATAACTGATACCAACATATCGGCCATGTGTCATGTTAGCGCTAAGTATTGTGACTCGCTGAATTATATGCTAAAAGATCTTAAAAATGCAAATTTTGATGACCCCAATTTTGTGACATAAAACACAGCAGCTTCTCAAAATCAGTTCTCTATGACAATAAGTAATTAAACTTTCTAGAGACGGGTTGGCTGGGCATGTACCACGAACGAGGGTGACGAAGAATGCATATAGTATATTGGTGGGAAAGCCAGAAGGAAAGAGACCACTGGGAAGACCAAGGCGTAGGTGGGTGGACAATATTAAAATGAATCTTAGATAAGATGGGATGGTATGGGTTGGATTGATCTGGCTCAGGATAGGGACCAGTGGTGGGTTCTTTTGAACACGGTAATGAACCCTCGTGTTCCATAAAATGCTGGGAAATTCTTGAGTAGCTGCACATTTGGCGGCTCCTCAAGAAGGGCTCAGCTCCAAAAGTAAGTAAGTAAGTAAGTAAGAGACTGGTGTGTGTTTTGGTTTGGAAGCAGATCGTACCCGTATCTACAAATTTTGAATGAAGCATTCCTATGTCAAACTTTACAGAGTTAGCAACCGTGAGAAATTTCGACACAAAGTCCGACAACTTTGAAGGAAATGGTTAGGCCCACATAGGCCTATCAGCTGTCATTATGCATGGAACATGTGGGGGGCAGTCGTGTGAATGTGCGCATGTCACTTGCATGTCCTCTACGTGTACTTCCGCCACACAAATACTCTGAATAGATTGAATGCGTGTCTATCTTTGTCTCTTATTTTTATCTGTGTGATTCACTACGAGGACCCATCACAGTGGCCGCACGGTCTAAGGCTGAATTGTCTTCGCTCGCTCGGACGCTGGGATCGTGGCTTCGAATCCCACACAAGGCATGCGTGTTTGGTGTGTGTATGCGTTTATTCTGTGTATGTGTTGTCCTATGTTTAGGTAGCGGCCTTACGATGGGCTGATTACCCAACCAAGGAGTCCTTCCGTCTGTGTAAAAATGATTACGGAACTGAAAAAGAGGCCAGGGCCCTGAATGGGCAAGAAGAGCAATTGGAAATAATCACTAGGAGGAAACCCCAAATTTATAATCATAAATCTCTCAATAATTTGCCGATGAAAATGAATCTTGGCGAGTATATACCTTGGTGGATATGAAGACAATATGGTTACAGAACATGCTGAAATTGGTGTCCTTGGGCCTGGAGATAGAGAAACACATGACCCCCATATTCGCGAATGTTGAGGATAACATGGCAAACCAGACTGCAGAAATTGCAGAAATGGCGCGAACCGGGCAGGTAGGCACCGGCTCGGTGACTCAGATACATAGCAATGTCAGATCTCGTTTTCATCGTAAATTATTGCATGATTGATTATCATTTATCATCAATTCAGAGCTTCCTTCGAGTGAAGGAAATATTGCCATGCGGCATTATATTATGTCAGGAATAAAGTCCTGGCATTTCCTGTAATGGCGAATAAAAATAAAGAAAATAAAACTATCCCTGTAACAGGCAGTGGAGGCCAATATTGTTATGAGACGTCGAGGCTCCCACTTTTCTAGACAATCGACTGACACATGACGTTGAGGTTGTTAGCCTTAGCGCCTGCCACCTTTAACCCTAGGAAGATTCCCGGCACTCATTTCTGTTAGAAGCTGTCTACCCCAGGGTCATAGTGCAGCTGGAAGGATTAGGTCAATTTAAAAATCCAGTGACCTCACCCACCTGGAATCGAACCCGCGACCTTCCAGCTTGTATTATAGCGCCCTCTGTGTTGGAAAATGCAGAATCAATTATGAGATAAACGGAGCCTTTTTAACTTAATCTGTTATTTTAAATTCCACAAAAACTGTCTTAGCAAAATTGTATGTCTTGCGGCAATCTTTCTTTCTAACATAACTTCAGTGCATGTAACTTGAGTATTGCTAATGGCGCTTCCACGCCTCAACTTCACACCTCCGACATGTTGCTATTACTCATTTTAGGGAGCTACGAATTACGATGTAAGGGTGATATCAATGGGCATATCGGTCATATCAAGTTCCGTGAAGATCGGTCAAAGGTTTCGAAGTTGGAGAGGAAACGCAGACAGGCACGTACAAATGTTATGACGATGCTTATATTATGGGCCTATGTAGCCTGAGACGGCTAACACGCGTCTCTAAATAGCCTAATAATAAATTTAGGTCCATAATGCCTGCTGTCCTCACACTGTGTACTGAAATATGCGAAGAAAATTATGTGTTATAAGCTCTTTCCCGAATGTCTTCTTTTAACTGGTTGTGGGGACTGGTTAGTAGAGAGAAACTTTTTATTTTGTTGCAAGTTTTGACTTAGCTGTCTTGTTCTTCAGGCGACAGGTTTCCGCTTGTCCCGTACGAATCCGCAATCTCTTCGTCATAACCATAAGCGTGGTGTCAACATTCTAGCAACATCGCACAATTCAGTTAACTGCCTGACAAAGGGATATCCTGCGGGGTAAATGATATTCAGTGTACAAGTAATTTGCTGTTATAGAGGGATGCAAATCTTCGTTATCGCCTCCTTAACATCCTGCAAGTGGACGCTGTCTTGACCCTAAGCATGTGTTAGGGGTGAGGGAACGCAACCACGACTTCCGAGAGTTATTATCAGACTAACTGCAACTGGACTGAGCAGCGCAAATTCAGGAGACGGCAAAGCAATTGCAACGTAACTCGCGGAAAACTGAGAAACAACTGCCAGAAACTTGAGCAAACCAAACCACTCTTCTCTCAGTTCCGTTGCCGCGTAATTTCCTAGTGTCAGCTGTTCTATCGCGCTTCTCTGCTTCATTTGCTTCTGAAGAAGGCACGAAAAGTTGATGATGCTGCAGATTTCGTTTTTGTGCAGTTAACTGAGCAAGAGCCCGGTATACATGACAAATGCCATACAGACTGTGCTAAGCGGAACAGAATCGATTTGGCTTGGGAAAGAAATTCTCATGAAGAATGCCGTCTTCTGGGATGTGGCGCCGTGTACATAATGTGTAAAACGGCGTTTCGGAGGAACATCGGTTTACACTATTTCCACACGGCCCCACATGCCGGAACCACAGCCGTGAAAATCTCAGATCTTACATAATTTCTCATGAGATGGAGTCTGGATTCTGGTTAAGTTCTTTCGAAACAATAAGCATCTGAGTTAAATTATCACGGAAGAACGGACGTATCCAATGTTTTCTTTCCCTAATATTTTGTTTAAGCCTTAATATTTATTTGTACATTATCCTCCGATCTATATCTCAGATTATGGAG